ATTCTCTTCAATGGGCTGTCCTCTCCTGTGGCTGGCTTGAGCTCTCCTTTGTTGCTTCAGCCATTGCGTACTATGTCTCCGTCCCTTTGTGCTTACAGATTAAACATTTAAAAGATATAATCACTGTTTGTTCCTGGTTGCGCAACAGAGGTGACCTTCAGCCTCAGCCACTTTTTTCTTTCCAGCACGTAATACTGCTTTGTTCTTTGAATATTAGCTTGTGTCCACCTAAAAAATAGTTGCTTTTCTTACAGTCTTCCACTCATCTTTATTATAAGATGATTCAGTAGGGAAGCGTAAGTAACATGATCTTTACTTCTCCTTGCCTAAATGTCCTTCTCTGCATAGTAATGTGACTTGAAGAACAATTAGAGGGCTAGAACCAAAACTGTCTTCTGAATGCCAGTCCACTATCTGTTAATAAGTGAATTTTTCATAAACTAATTCTCTGATCACTTTCTCTGATCAGTTTCACTGATCACTGAATTTCTTCTGGCTTGTATCTCTCTAGCAATGCAGAAACTGGAGATAATGACGCTTGCCACACATAGGCATACCTTGGTTGGGAAAACGGGCAACTTTTTTTTTGCATACTGCTTAATATTTTTGCATGGCATATCCAGAATCATTATATTTGGGATATATTTGTTTTTGCACAAGTTTAGTTTTAGAAATGGCAGAATGACATCTGTTTTCAACCTAAATTCTTTTTGTGAACTGACTCGTAATGCAATCCCCCAAACAGTTGCAGCGATACAACCAAGAAGATACAAATTTGTGGCACAAAGGTGAGACTAAATGGACAGGGAAGAAGCCAGGCCTTCTGAAGCCAGCTTTTTATTGCGGAAGCCCAAGTACCATGTGGTGGACAGCTGCGTGCACAGAGGAGAATGGACCTACTTTGATTGCTATTTTACAATAAACATAACTCACTCGACAGTCCTTTCAGGACGTTTTCAGAAAAGAGCAGTGGATTCTGTCTCCTTCTGTCTTCTGTTAGTGTCATGAGAGGGAAAAGCT